TCATCCCCTCTTGTAGTAACTATGCAAGGAGAAAAAGAAATAAAAAAGGAATTTTTTGAAAAAAAAAAAAAAAAAAAAAAACTATTATCTATTCTAAATATCATTGAAAAGGTCAAAACCCAAGCCCCTCATAATTCCTCACTTTTAATTACCTGTAGCTAGTCAAACTGTTTAATTTCCATTGGAGTAGTCAATGTTTAAAAATGTTTAAGAGCACTTTCAGAAAAGTATTTTTTAAGACTTTATATTTGAAGACTTCTAATCAAGAAGAATATTAGTTTTCTATTGTTGATTTCTTTTCCAAGTTATATCTTCTGGAATTATTGCTTTATTCAATCAATAAATAGTTTCAAGATCCCTTTCTTCAATCATTTTCAGAATAAATACTGTATCGATACTTCAACTTGTTATCAGATTGGAATAGGACCTAAATTTTGTTGCTACTTTTTATCCTTAAGAAAGAATAGAGAAAAAAAAAATAAAAGAATGGAAACAAAAAGGAGTTGCTCCTCTTCTACTTACAACTTCAACTTCACCTAGTACTCCTATATTACTCCTTCAACTAAAAACTGTTCAACTCTTTTAGGAACTAATTACATCATTGGTTTGGTGTTGCACAATTGAAAACACGTAAGGAGTATATGTCTTGTTTACTTTTTCTATAAATGACATGATCAACTAATCTGTAGCCTTGACCAATTATCTTTTGAAAAATCTGGTATGACTAAAAAATTCAGAGTCAAACTAATATAAACAAAATTCTTCCAAAAAACCAAGAAAAAAGAAAGCATACTTGAGAAAAAAAAAAGTAGGAAGTTAAAGAGATGATGAAAAGACTGGTAATTTCTTTATTCTTGTTTTTCTAGATTTTTGAATCTTTTGAAGATCTTTGGAGGATATTTTTTCTTGTCAGTTTTTTTCCTATAAAAAAAAGATGTTCTTGCCATAAATCTTTTAAATAGGTTTCTTATATTTAGTTGCAAAAATAAACAAAAAGAGTGTTTTGAAAAAGAAAAATAAAACAAGTGATAGCTTCTGCTTACTTTGCTAATTAAAAAACCAGTATTGTTAAGAAGAGTATATAGACTTTATTATCATAAAGACATAAAATCTTTTGAGAACATCTGTTTTTTGGGTTGACAAAAGGATCAACAGAAAGAGTTTTTATTATCCATATAGGGTTCTGAAAAAGTGCTGAACTGGTATTAAACTGGTATCAAAATACATGTTTGGGGAACCTATTAGGAGGTGAAAATTTTATTACTAGTTTTAAATCATTATATCTATCAATTCAACTTTTTTATAGAAAAACAATAAGTAATTAACTACTAATTTTCTTATATAAATTACTTATTATATCTCATCTTTTCACTTATATAACTATGGTTTCAGAGAATCTTTAATATGTATATACACTTCCTAGTAAATGCTCCTAGCTTTAATCCACTAGTTGATAAAATAACAATTTTTTTTTTTAAATAGATAAATATCATTGCTTTATTATAATTATAAAATTGAAAAAATTTATATATGAAGAAAGTAATAATATTTCTCATATAACTAGTTGATCAGTAAGTTTAATAATAACTTACTTATAATAAACTATCTAAGTTACAAAGAAAAAGAAATATTAAAACCAATACATTGTTAAAAATAGTATTAAACAGTTATGAATACCTACTTAGATTTATGTATAAAAAGATTATAAGAAGTAGAAAAAAAATAAAATATTAAACAAAGAAATAGATACAAAAAAACTAATTATAAAGCTAAAAATACTTCAGAGAAGTAATCCACATTGGTGATTCCATTAATTGAAGTATGATATATATATACTTATTACAAATGGTCAGGCTACTGTCCAAAGTATATAGTAGTGTTAATAATATATTTCTTTGATAGTTGATTAGTTATGATAATTGTATTATTGTTTTGTTAATATGATTAGTTATTGGTTTGTTTATTGACAATATAATTGATTTATTTGTTGATAATATGATTTTGTTTTGATAGTTATTGCCAAAAAATGTTTTGTTTATATTGATCAGTGTGTAGTTTTTTGGTAATACAGATTTGGTTAAATAATTAGTAATATTTGATTAATTGATTTTGAAATGATGATCAATATGGTTATTTAATAAAAAATATGTATTTGTAAGAAGTAAAAATAAGAAGAATCTCAAGAAAAATTTATAAAGAAGTAACTGTTATGTGCCTTTTTTTATACAATTCAAAGAAAAAGCAAGATCCTTAAACTTGTTTTTTTTTGACCAAAGATTCTATTCCAATGTATCAATATACTTTTTTAATTTTTTTGAGATTTTTATAGTGAAGATAAAGAATATGTAAATGACTTTGGAATATTGAAAGATAAGAAAAATATTTGTTTCTTTAATTTGTAAAGATAATTACTAAAAAAAATTTTTTTTTAAAAAAAAGTTATATATGAGAAAGAGTTTTTTTTATAAAATAACAATTTTTATTAACTGCAGCTATAATATATATACTGTATATAATATTTAATAACAATATTTTTTATTTTTTTATTTTTTTTTGAATAGATAAATATTATATATGTAATGAAATTAAATTCAAACATTTTTCAAAAACTATATTACTAGATTAATAATATAACTATATATATAATAAATATTATTTCTTAATAACAATATTTTTTAAATTATATTTGATAATTATTATATATATGATTGTATTATAATAAAAAAATTTAATTAATAATATATAATGTAAAACAAAAATAATTATACTTCATATCAATTTTTATTTTAATAAAATAAGATAAAAATCTATATTAATATATTTAAGAATATAACAAACAAGTTTATTTAGTAAAGTTTTTAAAATCTATTATTAAAATTTTTTTAAAAATAATTGATTTTAGTTTAGAAATAATAAAAATTATTAAAATTATTTTAATGCATAAATTTGTTAAATAAAAGTTATAATAATAACAATATAATAATAATTATTATTTTATTAAGTATAAAAAATTATTTAATAATTAACTTAATTTAAAATTTAGTCAAATTTTACTAAAAAACATAAATTTTATATAATAAAAAAATAAATTAATTTTAATAACATTTTTTTTTAAAAGCGAAATATATTACATATGAACTTTTATTAATTTAATATTGAAGTTACAATTATTATATAAAAGATCTAATTAACTATTTTAGTTACTCTAACATTGGCACCACCTCTATTTCTAATCTAATTATATCAACTTATATCTAGAAGATGGGTTTATATACCAGGCATAATCTATTTAAAAAGTGTTTACCTATTAATTGTTATTATACATATGTTTATATTTAATTTAGATATTTTTTAAAAATTATATTATATTTATATTACTAAGTAATAATTAGTAAATGATTGAGAATTATATTGTTGATTAAATTTTTTTTTATAGTAATAAAAAAACATGTATAACTGTTACTAGAGTTTTTATTAAGGATGAGTTCCTAAAGTATTTAGTATATAAAATTTTACAAATCAATTATATCTCTTTTGAAGGGATATAATTATTTATTCATTACTTTAATAAGGACATAATTCAAAAAACACTTGGATTAAGTGGCTTAAATTGCAAAAAATATTTGTAAGTAGTTTTTTTTTAACCTTATATTAAAAAAAAAGCTTTTTTAATAATGAGAAACATTTGAATTATATTCTTGCCTTTAATTTAAGAACCCATCTTTAGTCATATAAAGTTATAGACAAAATTTTTTCTATTTTAACTTCTATTAATTAAATTAAAGCAGTAATAGAATTTTTAATTTATTTATTTTTTTATAATTTAAATACTTGAATTTTTTTTTTATAAATTATTATTGAATAACATTATAATTAATTATATTTATTAAAATGATTAGTTATTTTTATAAACTATTATAATTTGTATCTTAATATTAATCATATAACTAATTAAATCTTTATTATATTAATAAAAATAATAAGTAATGCCTCACTTTAACATCAAAAAAAATTAAAATTTAATAATTAAAAAAATAAAAAAACAATTAAAAAAAACAATTAAAAAATAAAGTTTTTTAAAAAAAAACAATAATTAATCAAATAAACAATTTAAAATTTTTTATAAATATAAAAAATAAAATAAAATAAAATATTTTTTTTAATATTGATTTTAATCTATTATATTTATGATTATTTAAATTATAATATTAAAATCATTGTTTGAATTCAAAAAATTTTGATTTATTTTAAAAACAATTATTTATATTATATAAAATATTTATAGTTTGACTAATGATTTATTAATTTTAACAAAAAAAAAATTTTTTAAAAATTCTTTTAAAATTTTTTTTATAATTTTATAATCATTATTTAATAATAAAATAATTTATAATTATTGTATTTTTGTAATCAAAAATTTTTAATTTTTAACAAATCACCTGTTTTAAAGTTTCATTTAATAATAATCATATTATATAATAATTGTTTTTTAAATAATTTTTATTTATTTATAAATAATCAAATTGATATTATTTTTATTTATTTATAAATATAAAAAAATATTTAAAAAAATTGAATGCAAATTATTTTATTTTTGTTTAATTTAAAAATAAATTATTCTATAAAAAATTTTTTTCTTTTATATAATTATAAATAATAATTTAACTTTACAAAAAGTTCATATATAATATATAATATTTAAATATACAGTACTAAAAAAATTTTTTTTTTTAGAAGTTTCAGAATATTCACGCATATAACATTTTACAAAGTGATTTAAGCACACAGTATAACAACAGTGACAGGTTCAAAGTGATAATTTATCCGTTGTAAGAAAGAGAAATCGAATAAAAATCTTCCAAATATATCGTAGGAAGTTTTACAATACATGTAGTGACAGGTTTTCTTTCTGCATTAAATAAAGATAGTGATTTTTTTTTATTTATGGTAAAAATTATTGGCAACAAGAAATCCTAAATGAAAAATAGAATTGTCGAACATCAAGGATAGAATCCTTCAAGACACTCGGTGGTATCCTTTATTTTACCCGCCTTCGCTAAAAGTTCATCGCAGCCGAGAACTGAGAACGGCATTTCTTCACCAGCAAATCTGCCTTTGGTATAGAAGAGTTTGGGTTGATATTCCGATCTTTCACGAAACAAGCTTTGTATTTTAAAAAGAAAGCGAGATATTAAGAAATTAATTGATCACATCAACTTGATAGTTTCAGAAATGGATGTACATACTCAGATTTCTCAAATTTTTTGATAAGTTGATCGAGACCCTGTACTCTAGCATAAGATAATTCACAAATCTTGTCTGAATTAAATTTGGGCCTACAAGACAAAGAAAGGTTTATAAAAAGAGATTTGACAGCTGATTGGTGGCACGTGAAGAGTTCATCCACGTACCATTTCTTCCCAACACGAGTTTCAGCAAAAGAAATCACGGATCTATATTTATCAAGAATATTTAATGAGAACCGTATTTCCAAATTGTCATAACACAAATCGCACGTAATAAACTAGATGAGATTGCATAATTACTCTATGTCTATAAAGTTAATAAATGCATAACCAACGTTGCACTTATTCTGAAAGTCAATACGCAAATAAGCAAAATCGTATTTTCCCTTGTGAGTCTTGTTGAGCCAATCCAAGAACATTTCCTAGAAGAAAAATAAAATGTGTTTAACTTATAAAATAATAAACGCAAATGAGTAACTGCAAAATAAAACAAAGTTTTTACCTGAGTGTACTTGTTCGGGATATTTCGGATCATAAACGTAGTACGCTCGTCAAGACCCTTCTTAACCTTTTCCAGATCAAACAAATTTCCCTCCGGAATAGTTCTGTTGCCAGAAGCGCGGACAGTGCTAGTGGCTGGAGGGTGATATTTTCTTTGGTAATTTACATAATCCTCGGTGGTTCGGCGTGTAAGACCACGAGGATGTTCTAATTTCGAATCTGTTGAATGCCTAAAATCGGAATCGGGAGATTGACAGTCAAAGGCTGGTGGGACTCGACGTGGAACTGGGGGAATTCTTATTCGCGATTCTTTGAGACGCCTAAAGTCGTCAGCAACTGCATCCCATGTTTGAGATTCATAATCGTAATATTCGATCCGAACCGTGGTAGTTTTACGGATACTCTTATCAAACACATGCTACAAACGATATTGAATGAAACGGTTGAAGATCACCAACCAATGTGATTCTAATCAATAATGTCGACGTACATACCTCGAAAATTTGCCCGTCTAAAGTTTCTTTTGCGGTGCGGGCAGCGCGTGTATCGTCATACTCGAGATACAAGCAACATTCCTCTACAGTATGTGCGCTGGTGTACGATTTAATTTCGCCCATCTCTTTGAAACGTTTCTGTACATCAAAGAAACTGTAATAAGTAAAACAGGATAATCGACCTTATAAGGAAAAACGCTTACATAAATTTCTTCATTATGTTGGATTGAACCTCTCCAAGTCACTCTAACGTAACCGTCATTTATCAGTTCATCTAATGCTGTGATAGTTGGATATCTCTATTTTACAAGGGAAGCTTAGATACGAACACCGATTGACCAAGTATTGACATCAAACAGCTAAATATGGTTTACATGAATGGCGCAAGATCGAGATGAGTATCGAACTTCCATTCTACGTCGGTTATGAGGTGCCTCTTGTTTACGAAGATAACCTTGTGCTCTTGTGGCATCACTAAGACTATAATAGATGACATAGGCAAATCCATTACCGGCTAGAATCTCGTGGACGTCACCATAGAGCTTTTGTGCAGAGAATGAAACATCATGAACAAATGAACCTGATCGTTGGAAAACGTCACGTGAATGAAATATACCTCGAACATTGTTCTCATGAGACGCCAGTGGGCAGGATTGGTCGGAAAATTGGTAACATACAACCACCGCGTAACTTGACCCCATTCACGGATGTTGTCCAAGAGTTCGGGTGGGGAAGGTTTAACTGAGGGAGGACCAGTAGTCTCGTTTGGAATGTTACCCAACGGACGATAGACAGGCAGGCAAGGGGGTAGCGAAGGAGAAACTGAAATTGATGAATGTTTGACAGTTTGAGTTTGGGAAAAATGAGGTTTGATTAGTTCGAAGGTAACAAGATTGGTCGGATGGTTAAAAATATTCTGACTCGTGTTAGCTTCTTTAACCGAGGGAACATTCTCGGGCGGTTTCACAAAGAGCCTGTCGAATTGGAGTCCCATTACTTCTTTGTTGTATGCACAGGATTGGGAATGAGAGAGAAAAGCATTTTCGAGAACTTCAACTCGCCGAGATGGTTCGCCTAGTGTCGATTAGCATGTGACATAATTAGACGAGCTTTGCATGTAATGCGTCCTGATTTTTAATGTACATGCCATTGATTTCGAATTTTTCGTCACCAATTCCACCAGATCGACCATGGGTTATAAATTTGCGATCTTTTGATTGGATGAAAATTTATGAGATAAGCAACGTTTTTGCGTATAGTTGGCATCGCGCAAGTATCTCGTGACAAAAAAGATTTTTATTAACGTGCCACTTAATCTGGATTGATATATTTGACGTGCCACCGAAGTTTCATTATAAACATCAGATGGACCATAAGGTTGAAAGGAGCTTCTCAAGTTGAAGTCGGGACCTTTAGCAAGAAGAGAGTTTTTATGATAAGCCACATGCCCTCAACAGAATTTCCATAGAAGCACCAAAAATACAAAGTAGATACCATTAGAAAGGTTCGTATTTGCTTTTTCGACGCAAACGACTGATTGATCATGAGACGAAGAAATATCAACGGGGATGTCAACTCGATGAAACGATCTTCCTGAAGCTAATTGGACGTAACACAATTGTAAATAATATCATATAAACCACGCGTGCCACCATTATTACATCACGCGTATCATCGATCAAAGACAAATAGTGAAGATAGTACCGTTATCCCCTAGTTGACATGATGAATCTCTTCCATTACGATTTCCAGACTGCCCAAGTTTGAAATCACGTATTTGGGAGTTTGCGAATGTAGAGGATAACTACCAAATAAGACAAATTGCACTCGTAAGGACGATCATCCATAAATCACATCCGTATCACGTGATTAAAATAAATAACGTCTCTTTCTTTGCGTCAAACATTCGAAAAGTAACGGATGTGATGTATATATGCGACGCGAAAACGTTCATAAAAATGTCTTTTGGCTAAAGATGAAATAGGATTTCACCTCTTGACGAAATGAGAAGTCCAGCGCAAAATTTTCGGTGTTAGGGGGGGCGGTAAAATCGGCTTTGGACTGCCTCATGATTACCGTCTTCGAGTGATATCTAATGAAAATAGGATGTATGGAATATTTTTCGTCTCTAAATTTTCCGCTATCAAAAAATTATGTACACAGAAGATTTTTTCACGTGGAACAAAGAATCATCATTTTTATTTAAGTTATACCTTATTGAGCCTTTAATAAAAAAATCTTGAGAGCAAAACAACCAAGAAACCAAATAATCGTCTGCGTTATCCTTTGTTCCAAGCTAAATAAAAGAACCTTTCGTCGAAGTAATGCTATGCGTAACTATTTTTCAGTTCAATAAGTGTGAGAAAACAACGAGAAGGGACGTGAGAACGTGAAGACGGTAAAGTGTAACCGAAGTAGATTAAAGAAAAAGAGGAGGATGCGAGTTTATATATTATTTTTTTGTATAACATATCGTAGATCGGCTAAGGAAAGTTTATTGGAGTATACAATAAAAATACTATTTTTACTGTATACAACGGTGAATGGAAGTCTAATCAGGCTTTTTTATTGATCCAGAGGTCTAACCGTTAATAACAACCAATCGTGGTTTAAACAAAAACTAATCAACAATCAATCAATCTGTTGTTGTAAAGTCTGTCGTTTAAAATAAGTTGAATGGATCAATTTATAAACTATAAATCTATGTCGCGTGCGTAGATAAGAATAATTTACGTGTGTAATCGAAATGATCGATTGAAATCATCCGCGTTAACTTTTTAAACTTTTTATCCACGAGAACAAAGACTCGACACGACACATTGATGATATCTTGATCAATAGATGAGTGCTATGAAACTGTAAACTAACTGCTATATTCGTTTTTTTTTTTTTTTTAATGAAAATGTTTTATTGCTTTCACGACGAAAACTTTTATTACCCCACAAACCCGCAGTAGAATATTAAAACAAATAAATAAAAACCCCGGAAAAAATAATTGCATGAATTCAAATGACTCCTTGGAGAAATTCGGTCATTTCGACTGCGTGGTTCCGATTATTAAGTAATCTTGTGAATTTTTTCTCATCATTATTTGTAAGTGAAACCGCATATTACAAGGGGTACCGAAATTAACAAAATTATATAATTCCAGCCTACTGAAATTTTTTCCGGGCCTATTGTCGATTACCATAATAGGATCTACGTAGGCAACAAACTCCAGCCAAAAGTTCATCGGAAAATTCTCAGAATTTCGCGCACGGACTTTCCAGCAAAAGAAATTCCATGAACTTTATTTAAAAGGAAGATTGTGTCGCAGTATCGCTAGGATTACCTTTTCTGTTGGTACCCGGAACAATAGTAGCTGTGTCTTGGAATTCTAGAATGAAATTTGCCAATTATTCTCATGTCATCATGCGTTGTTAATATTGCACCAATTAGATTGAATCAGATAGTTCAAATACTGGGGATTAATCAATTTCATCCCGAAGTTCTCATGAAAAACAAAAAAGGTAAAAAAGGTGAAATCTCTGATACATGAATGCTAGATGGGAAAGTTTTTTGTATTTGGATGTTTTCTAGAACTATTACCAGCAATAAAGAGTTACACGAAAGGAACAACATGTGATAAAAACCTTTCCCACCAAAGTACGACGTGTTTGAGATTTGGTTAACAACGATTCATCCCAACATTCAATTTTAGCATCGTGTGCCTTTAAGCATTAATGTGTCGCAGCATCAACTACGTAACCAAATGTTCCATTTACGTAATTATTATGGACCTGAAATTTGATATCCTCGATAATGTAATATCATGTGAACTCTTCTTCGTATATGTATTTGTCGTTTTCTCTTAGACTTGCTTTTTTATCTAATTTACACTTTAACACGGAAAATCAATGTGATATGTGTGATAAAAATTTTACAGGGAGTTGTTTTCTTCCTGTACATCTCACTACTATAACTTATATGACTATCCTTTAAGATCACTAGATCAGCAGCCAACGAGTGAAACATTCAAATTGAATTATTGGTTATTAAGATTTAATTATAAACAATTCGAAATTATAAAATATATAAGTCAAATTAATTATAAATAATATTTTGGTAATCAGTAATAAAAATTCAAATAAAATCTTTACCATTTAATTCTTCTGGTTTAAAACTTTTAAATAACATATAGCATATTCAAATTGAATTACTACTGTAGTTGTCAAGATATTATATATAGACAATTTATAAAATTATAATTATATTGTATTGATTTTATATTATATTAATTAACTTACAATAAAAATTTCAAATAATTGAATCAATAGAAAAATAATTTTTTGTAATTTATCGACTATATGTAGTTTTGGATTTTAATAAAAACATCTAATTTCAAAATCAATATACATTAGAAAAATAAAAACCATTATAAATTCAATATTTTTTATTGATTTTAATAACAAAAAATTAAAATAATAATTAATTAATTAATTAATTAATTATGTAAATGGTTATTATATTAAATATGATAATTTTTTTAATTATTTTTATTTAAAAATAAAAAAGTTTATTTTAAATTTAATAATAAAACATATATAACTAATTTTTTTTTAAATTATAAATATATAATAATATATAATAAACTAATATATAATATATAACATATACAACCTAAAACAAAAAAAACTATCTAAAATTATATTTTTATTTTTATTAATAATTTAATAATTAATTAATTAATTAAAATAAAATTTATTTGTTTTTTTTTTTTTTTTTTTTAGTAGATAAACATTATTTCTTTATTTAAATTGTATGATATCAAATATATATTGTGAAAACAATATCTTTTATATATAAAAGTATATCAAGTTAAATGCTAGCTTGTTTACAGTAACCACTTAATCAATATTGAAAAAAAATTTTAAAACAATATATTTTGTTAAAAGATTCTAAACAGTTATAATTATACATATGATGAAATTGAATTTGAACATTTTTTAAAAATCATATTATTATTAAAAATATAGTAAATTAATTGAAAATCATATTTAATTGGAAATTATATTACTATATATAATAAATATCAACAATATAATCACATATATAATTATGATTACCTATTTAATATTGAATAAAAGAAGATTAAAATAATTAAATATTAGTTTGAAAATATATTTGAAAAGTTTATATCTATTTTGGATATAAAAGTTTGTTACTATAATTAGTAGTAAAAATTACAATTTTTATCTAAATTTAATTAATTCACAAATTAGATATAGATCAAATTAAATTGACCTATGGGTTTATAGTATAGTGGTAATACTTCATAGGTCACCAGAAAAAGATCTAGGATTCAACCCCACCTGGTTACAAAAAATTTTATCACCTTCATGATTGGTTGATCGGCTTCAAATACATGTCGTACTCAATCAGCCGACAAAAAAAATCTATCTCCAAATTTAGTTAGGCTGCATGAAGATGGGACCTCTGGTCTTCCCAACAATCGCGGGCTGAAAACAGGTCGAAGCAAGGAAGGTTGCATAAGGAAAGGCTTCTGGTCTAACTCCGGTAATAAGCCCATAAACTCTAACCCAAACTGGCGACAGCAGACTCCGTCACACAATATAAAGAGGCTAATTCTAAGCTGATCTATCCCAATCTGGAGCTTGAAGATCTATCCCAATGG